GCTCGCGACCTCACCCGCACCTGGGCCAGGTGATTCGCCCGCAAGCGGACCACCGCGCCGGGTAGGTATCGGCTCTGCCCTTAGGTGAGGACACCACGGCCTGGGAGTCACGGAGAGCCCAGGGTCACCCAACCCCTTAAACGGCGCAGCTAGACCTTTCCTTCCCAGCTTTTTATTAGGAAGGTTCTCGGCAAAAAAACAAAACAAACAAACAAAAGAATGTTCTCAGAAAACAGAAAAATGAAAGATTCTACAGTATCCACCCAGCGCCTGGGGTGCAGCAGTCTCCATTCTGCGGAATCTGCTTTGGCCCCTCCGGGGTGTGAGGCCCTTTCTTGGGGCGTTTGAAAGTGAACTGCAGAGAAGACCCCTCGCCCCTAGATCAGTGGTTCTCAACCTTCCTAATGCCGCGACCCTTTAATGCAGTTCCTCGTGTTGTGGTGACCCCCGATTTCATTGTTACAAATTGAACATCATTAAAGCATAGTGATTAATCACAAAAACAGTATGTAATTATGTATGTGTTTTCCGATGGTCTTAGGCGACCCCTGTTGAAAGGGTCTTTCGACCCCTAAAGGGGTCGCGACCCACAGGTTGAGAACCGCTGCCCTAGCTGCTTCGTCTGGTAGCTCCTCAAAATAAGGGCCTTCTCCCAACAGCCACAACACCCAGTCCAGGCCTGAGATGACTCACTGACTCCCTGATCCCACCCAGCACCCAGTCCTCACTCAACTTTCCCCAGGCCTTCCCGATGTGTCTTTTACATTACTTCATTCTTTTCTTTAATCCTCACACGAGGGTATGTTTTTGCTTTTTTAGAGAGAGAGAGACGGATCGGTTGCCTTCCGTATGCGCCCTGACTGGGGAATCCATCCCTCAACCTGAGTATGTGCCCTGACCAAGAATGGGACCCACAACCTTTTGGTGGATAGGACGCAGTTCCAACCCACTGAGCCACCCGGCCAGGGCAAAGTCTGTTCGTTTTTCATGCAGGGCCCAATGAAGTGCATGCATTACATTTGGTTATTGTATTTTTTTTTCTAGTCTCTTTTCATTGGAACAGCTCCTCCACTCCCCGCCCCCCACCCGGTGATATTCAGATCAATTTTCTTGTAAAATGTCCCACAGTCCCCACATTGCAAATTTGCCGGATTGTAACTTCATATGACAATTTAACTTGTTTTTCTAACCCCTGTGTTTACTGTAAACTGGAAGTTAGCTCTAAAGGCTTTTTTAGATGTAGCTTACTTTTTTTGTTGTGGTAAAGTATACATACATTTTCAGGTGTGCAATTCAGTGGCATTAAGTACATTCACAGCCATCACCACCGTCCATCTCTTGAACCTTTTTACCATCCCAAACTGAAACTGTCCTCACTGAACACTAGTTCTCCAGGACTCCCTCCCATCAACCTCTCATATGGCCACTCACTCATTCCCCTTTGTGCCCGGCAATCTGACTGTTCTAAGTGCCGTGTAAGCGGAACCTTACAAAGTTTGTGCCTCGTTTACTTCACGTAGCATCATGTTTTCAGGGCTCATCCGCGGGTAGCATGTACCATCAGAATTTCATTTCTTTTTAAGGCTGAATAGTATTCCATAGCGTGGCTTTGCCACGTTTAGTTTATGAGACGAAATGAGGTTCTTTTGTTTCCTATCCAGTAGGAAGCAAGGCCAGCCCTCCTCAAAACTGGGAGCCCTCCCTGTGTGGCCCTCAGCACCTTCTTCCTCTTCCTCACCTTGACACTTCCCTCTCCGACCTTCAGGATGCCTGGGACCCCCTGTGGAGGAAGATGTGTTCCGGGGGAGCAGGAAGATGGAATGCTTCTTCCCAAGCATGACTTGTCAGCTGCGGAATTTCAAGAGCGAAGCAGTGGGCTCTGGGTAGTTAGGTCAGCCTCCCCCTGCCAACCCCCAAAACCTGCCAAGGGACCTCCCCCTCATACAACTCCTCTTGCGGAAACACCCCCATACACACACCTCAGCTTCCCCAGGACCCTATCCCTGTGCCTCCCGGAGAGGGTGGACCGGAACACAGGATCAGAGTGTGAGCCACCGAGAGGCCTGGACCAGGCAGCCCTCGAATCAGCTAGAATCGGGGTTTCTTTTGGCTCAAGTGGCCCCTAAAGTGATGTTAAAAAGCCGTGTGTGTGACCCTTTGCACACATTGAAATGGACGTTTAAACCTTTTCATCTCAATGAAGCAATTGCAGGGTGATGTAATTTCCACCAAGTTGCAAATATCAGCTTTTTTTTTCCTTTTTCTAATCCTTAGCCAAGGATATTTTCCCATTGATCTTCTGAGAGAGTAGAAGAGAGAGGGAAAGACAGAGAGAAACATCGGTGTGAGAGAAACACATCGATTGGTTGCCAATCATACAAGGCCTGACCAGGGCCCCGGCCAGGGAGGAGCCTGCAACCAAGGTACATGCCCTTGACAGGAATCGAACCCGGGACCCTTTGGTCTGCAGGCTGATGCTCTATCCACTGAGCCAAACTGGCCAGGGCTGTTGCTTTCCTTTTTTAAAAAAAATATATTTTATTGATTTTTTTACAGAGAGGAAGGGAAAGGGATAGAGAGTTAGAAACATCGATCAGCTGCCTCCTGCACACCCCCTACTGGGGATGTGCCGCAACCAAGGTACATGCCCTTGGCCGGAATTGAACCTGGGACCCTTCAGTCCGCAGGCGGATGCTCTATCCACTGAACCAAACCGGTTAGGGCTGTTGCTTTCCTTTTGAAGTAGTTTTACTTTGGCTGCTGATCACATGCTCCCCTGAGGGGGTATCAGCTCAGCCCCTCAGGGAAGGGCCAGCCCTGGAGAGGGGGGCCCACCGCCTTCCCAGTCAGCACCTCCAGGCCTCTCCAGGGTATTGCTGGGGGGGGGGGGGCCCCCCAGGGGGGGCCCCCTGGAAGGGAGTCCACCCCCTGGCTGGGCCTCGGGGGTGGGGTAGGAAGTGAGTAGCCTGGGCTGTTCACTTCTTACAAGAGGTATTTTTTTTCTTTTTTCTCTTTGTTTAAAATGTTTGGCCTATTACCTTTAAATATCCTTATTGTGGCGGTGGTGAACACACAATACAATATACAGTTGATGTATTATAGAACGGTATACTGAAAGCTATATAATTAACCAATGTCACCCCAATAAATTAGATAAATAAGTATCCTGATTGTAATAAAATGGTACTGATGGGGAAAATGAGACATTTTGGGGGGGGGGGGGCTAGCAATCTGAATCTAGTCACTGCCCCTTTAATTATCTGGTCCTGCAAGGCCTGGTGACCCAAAATACTCCCATTTCAGAGAGGCATAGACCATCCCCAGACGGAGTTATCAGTGCTGGCACCAGGCCAGGCCTTGAGATGTGGTCCCACTACCCCCGTCCCAAAGCCCTCGAAAGGTCCGGAAGTATAATCCATATTTGGGAGACAAAGAGACCTAGAGAATACAAAAAGGGTAAGCCTCCTCCGTATTGGGGCTCAGGATTTGGCGAGAAACAGACTCCCCTGAGTCACTGGACCGGCTCGTGTGAAATGTCTGGAAATAAGTGGGTTTTTCCTGTGCCTCCGGTGCTCCTGCGTGTTTTTCGGTTGCCTGGTAAATTCTGTAACAGCACGATGAGTAGAAACTAGTATTTCCATGCTGTTTTGTTTTTTTAAGTGGTTTATTTATTTGTTGTTAATCCTCAGCTGAGGATATTTTTCCATTGATTTTTAGAGAGAGTGGAAGAGAGAGGGAAAGACAGACAGAGAAACATCGATGTGAGAGAAACACATCAATTGTTTGCCTTCTGCATGAGCCCTGACCAGGGTCCGAGCCAGGGAGGAGCCTGCAACCAAGGTATGTGCCCTTGACTGGAATCAAACTCAGGACCCTTTGGTCCGCAGGCCAATGCTTTATCCACTGAGCCACACTGGCTAGGGTTCCATGCTGTCTTAATCTGAATTTATTTGATTATGAGTAGGATCCAATATGGACATTTAAATTCTCGGAACTTCCTGATATTTGTCCAGTTATTGGTTGGGTATCATTTTCATATTGACATAGAGGTGCTCTGTATCTTTTGGTGGTGTCTCCTGCTCTATGATATATGTTGCAGTTACTTTGCCTGGTTTTTCATTTATGTCTTCTTTCCTCTTTAAATTATAACCTATTTTTGAAATAGTTAAGACACGGAAGTTGCAAAATTAGTAACGAGTTCCTATGTACCCTTCACCCAGGTCCCCCCTGTGTCTTACAGGTCACCGTCACCTCACACATTGTCAAAATCAGGAAATTTCCCTGTGGCAACCCCATTAGGTAAATGATGAACCCTATTGGGATGTCACCGGTTTCAACATGCACTTGTGGTTGTGAACCTGGTTCCTGGGCATTTCAGCGGGAGTGCAGATTTGAGGAATCATCAGCAGATGCAGAACTGTTCCGTCAACACAAACAAATCCCCGTGTTGGTCCATAGTGGTCACCCCTCCCCCCAACTCCTGGCCGAGCCTGTCTGGTCTCCACCATAATTTTGTCCCTCCGTCACTTAGAGAATCGCATATAAGTGGAACCACACTGTGTGACACCTGGCAACTGGCTCTTGCAATGCACCCAGGTCACCCGGTGGCTCTGTAATTTGTGCCTTTTTATTTGAGTGTTTACCATGTGCTGCTTCGGACAGCTGGTTTTCCCCAGGTTTTGGCCATTAAAAACTAAAGATGTTGTGAATATCCATGTACAGCTTTTTGTGTGAATATGCGTTTTCATTTCTTTTTAAAAAAAATAATAATAACCTTTGTTTAAATTTACATTTCCAGCCCATTAACTTTTCTTCTTCTTCAAGATCCACCTCACTTTATGGAGTTGGCTCTGCCCCTCACCTCTCTTACTTTGTGCCACAACTGTTCCTCTATTATAGCACTTACTAGAGGCCGGGTGCACGAAATTCGTGCACTCAGGGGGGCAGTCCCTCAGCCCAGCCTGTGCCCTCTCACAGACCGGGAGCCCACCTCGGGGGATGTCCGACTGATGGCTTTGGCCCCGTGGGAGCAGGCCAAGTCGGTCAGTTGGACATCCTTAGCGCTGCCGTGGAGGCGGGAGAGGCTCCTGCCACCGCCGCTGCACTCGCCAGCTATGAGCCCGGCTTCTGGCTGAGCAGCACTCCCCCTGTGGGAGCACACTGACCACCAGGGGGCAGCTCCTGCATTGAGTGTCTGCCCCCTGCTGGTCAATGCACATCATAGTGACTGGTGGTTCTGTCATTCAGTTGATTTGCATATTAGCCTTTTATTATATAGTTTGGCAGCGAGCCACGGGGTGTAACTGTGCCTCACTCACCTTTGGATTTCCAGTGCCCACACCAGTCACTGGCACAGCGTCGCAGCTTAATAATTGTTTTGATTTTATGTCGTTTTGGATGACTAAGGGGCAACAGTTGGAGTAGAGTGGTGGTAGCTGCGACTGGCTTAAAAGTAACCCCAGTCCGTTAACTTTCCTAGGAGTATTTTAGTTGCTGACAGTGGAGAGTTTGGAACAAAATCCATCCTGTTACCTGCCGCATGTCCCGTAATCCTGCTGGTGAAAAGGGCTGAAAACCTTGCACAAGAGCCCAGAGGTGGGGCCGGGAAAGGGAGGGGCCGTGGCTTCGGGGCAATCCCCTCCCCACATCCCCGGAGACCTGGCCCGGCGCCCGGTGTGTGGTAATCCTGAGTAAGCGGCAGCTGTGATGACGATCATGGCCTCAGGGCTTTGCCTGAGGGTTTCCCAAGCGGCGCCTGCTCCCCCCCTCCCCCTCCCGCAGCCCCGTGGTGCCGCCTGATGGTGAGATGGGAGATGAGACGGGCGGCGCCCTGTTCCCTCTGCGGGCCCGGGAGGCTTATCTGGGCCCCGCCCCAGGGCGGGCTCGAGCTCAGAGAGGATAGTGCGGTTATCAGAAGCTGCAGGGCCGCCTGAGGGTGGGAAGAAGGAGCTCCAGGAAGCAGAGAGGCCAGAGCCAGGCCCACAGGCCGAGGGGATTGAAGCGGGTTAACGCCCCACCTGCGCCCCTCGCCCCTGCAGGAAGCCCCGTTCCAGGCCCTCGCTGGCCGGGAGGGCAGGGGAGCCGGCTTCCCGCTGCATTGGGAGCAGGAGACTGGGGGAGCCCCGAGGGGACAGTTAGGACTCTTGGTTGCAAGTGACAGACACCTAAGCAGAAGGGGTGTCCCTTGGTCTGTGTGCCAGAAAAGCCCAGAGCCGCTCTCCCGCAGGCCTGCCCCGCACCCAGCAGTGCCATCAGTTTGGGGGCACCTCCCCCCCATCTCCGCGGTGCTCATGTGCTCGCCCCAAAGCCGGCCTCCCCCCTAAGATCTTTTTTTTTTAAATATATTTTATTGATTTTTTACAGAGAGGAAGGGAGAGGGATAGAGAGTTAGAAACATAGATGAGAGAGAAACATCGATCAGCTGCCTCCTGCACACTCCCCACTGGGGATGTGCCCGCAACCAAGGTACATGCCCTTGACTGGAATCGAACCCAGGACCCTTGAGTCCGCAGGCCGATGCTCTATCCACTGAGCCAAACGGGTTAGGGCCCCCCTAAGATCTTGTTACATGTGGCGGCCCACCTCCCCCAGTTCTGCTTTGACGCAGAAAACAATGGAAGGAGCGCGCAAGGCAGTCCAGGAAACATGGAACCACGGCTCAGCGTTAGCTTGAGTAGAAAAAATCCAATTGATATTTGTCCTTAATCTGAACGTTTTGCTTACTGGATGGGTGTGAGCTTCGCAGGTTTCTGAGGGTCACAGACACCCGTGCCAAGGCCCTGAGGTGCATGGTGTTGGCGTGGTTGAGGATGGGCCAGCCTCGGCGGGCGGGGGGCTGGAGAGGAATGCAAGAGGGCAGGCGAAGGGGGAGTCAGAGGTGGCCGGATTCTAGACAGGTAATCAGAAGGCAGAACGGAGGGAACTGCTGATGTTTGAAGGTGGGATGTGAGAGAGGAGGAGTCAGGATGACCCCAGGGTTTGGGGGCCAAGTAACTGGAATAATAAAGAATTTAGTCCAGCCCTGGCCGGTGTGGCTCAGTGGAAAGAGCGTCGGCCTGCGGACTGAAAGGTCCCAGGTTCGATTCCCGTCAAGGGCATGTACCTTGGTTGCTGGCACATCCCCAGTAGGAGGTGTGCAGGAGGCCGCTGATTGATGTTTCTAACTCTCCCTTCCTCTCTGTAAAAAATCAATAAAATATATTTTTTTAAAAAAAGAATTTAGTCCTGCCCCACCAGCATGGCTCAGTGGTTGAGGTTCGACCTATGAACCAGGAGGTCACGGTTCGATGCCCGAGTTGCAGGCTTGATCCCCCGTGTGGGGCATGCAGGAGGCAATCAATGGTTCTCTCCCATCACTGATGTTTCCATCTCTCTCTCCCTCTCTGAAATCAATAAAAATGTATTTTAGGAGAAGAGGCCAGCTGTCCTCTTTCCCCGTGGCCTCTGTGGACCTTTGCCCCGTGGTCTGGGTGACATGGCTGCGCCAGACGGGGCATGGGAGGGGCAAAGAAATCAGGCGCGTGACAATTATTTTACAGTCGTTGCAGCAGAGATGAGAGGCGGTGCCTCCTTTTATTTTCATGGAGAAAAATACACGATTTTAAAAACTTTTTATTTTAAAATAGTTTAGACTCACAGAAGAGGTGCCAAGATAGTTTCCATAGAGCAGCTGCGCCCCTTACTGTTAACACATGGCATAGCCACAGTACAATGACAAAAGCAAGACATTAACTTGGTGCAACACTATTCCCTAACCTGCAGCCTTTCCTAGGATCTCCTGCGTCTTCCGGGGACCCTCCTGTGTTCTGCTGTCATGTCTCCTCGCTCTCCTCTGATCGGAGACAGATTCCGGGTCTTTCCTTGGCCCCCAGGTCGGGCGAAGTGTGGGCAGGTGCGGAGCTCTGGCCTCGCCCTCAGAAAGGACCAAGAGGAGAGGAGTCTCCCTCCCCGCCCCCGCCCCCCGGGCCACCGCCCTGGTCCCCAGCTTGCCACAGCTCCCAGCCTCGGGAACTGCCAGGGCCGGACACCACGGCCACTTCTGATGGACAGAGCCCGGTCTGGGAGGCGGTGCCTGGTTAACCCAACAGAACACAGGTGGCCAAGGGAAGGGCTGGGCCCTCCTGAACCCCATCAGGATTAAAGCACTGCCCCCCCCACCCCCTCCCAGGGCCAAAGATGCTGCAGCCAGCAGGGAGAGCCCCTCTGCCCCATCTGGCCCCCGCCTGGCCCGGCCCGAGGTCCACAGCAGCCAGAGGCGCTGGAGTGACCAGCTGCATGTGGCGTTTTGGAGCTGAGACCACAGTGGTGCTGCTGGCCCTGCTCAAGTCAGGAAGAGCGGATGGCTCAGTTACCGTGGAAACCAAAGTTTGCTGCAAGGGCAGCTGGTGTCCAGATCTTATTTGGACTCAGAGACAGATGCCCTAGAGAGACGTAGAGCTGCCCCATGTCACGATGGTGCAGGCGCCACACACATTCAAACACATCTCTCCCGCCGCTGGCCGCTGGAGGCGGGCGTGCGGGGGGCCAGGCGTGCAAGTTGGAAGATGGACTGGGATCTTTCCAGGAGGTGAGGGTCCCTGGTCTGGGAGAGAGACCCCTTAGAGGAAGGGACACGTGCTTTCTTGGTGTCACCACAGCCCTCTGTGCGGCTGTCTGCTGGGCTGCTATTGGGGTGGCTCCTTGATGCTGGAGGGCAAGGCCAGGGGCCAGGATCCGTGGACTCTGCAGTGAGATGGAGCCCGGCAACCTGGCACGTGCCCTGACCAGGAATGGAACCAGTGGCCTCTTGGTGCAGGGGTCGATGCTCAACCACTGAATAGATTAAAACAACTTTTAATATATTCCTAGTGTTGATCCTTGTAAAACTGGACATCGAAAGCTGTTTCCCTTTTATTTATATCTGAATAAGAGAAAGAACAAGGGAAGGGAAATGCTTTTAACATTTTATCTCTGAGAAAAAAAGAGAAGCTAGAAGTAGAAAAATAAAGATGACTTTCAGATCTAGTTCCTGGGTCATACAAAAGAAGGAATTTAAGAGGTGGGAAGCTGGTTGGTTTCCGACAATCTTTTCACTTTGGGTTTTGTACCTCAGCAATCTCTCTTGGGGCCCCTGGTGGGAATGCCGGGCTAGGTATGAGGGCAGAAATCAGTTACTAAAACTCGCAGCTGGTTAATATTAACTCCCTTTCCTTCCCGAGTAAACCATGCCATCCGGGACTAATGGGCGAGACTCAGGGCTTTCCACTGAACCCGGGATTGGCAAACACTACCAGGCGGTAGTTTTAGGCTTTGCAGGACAAGCAGCCCCTGCAGCGGCCACTCGGCCCTCCATAGTCCCATAACATTGTCATGGAGCACACACAGGGTCTCCAGGGCCCGGCAGTCCTAAATGTCATTTCTTGCTACATGTTAAAATGTAGCCCGGCTGGTGTGGCTCAGTGGTTGAGTGTCGACCTATAAACCAGGAGGTCACGGTTCGATTCCCGGTCAGGGCACATGCCCAGGTTGAGGGCTCCATCCCCAGTGTGCAGGAGGCAGCCGATCAATGATTCTCTCTCATCATTGATGTTTCTCTCTCTCTACCCCTCTCCCTTCCTCTCTGAAATCAATAAACATATATTTAAAAAATCAAAAAGTGTTAAAATGTAGCACAGTGTTTTGTAGATGCAGCCAGACACAGGATGGGCTGACGGGACTCCATGGGATGAAAAGAGCCAACTGCTAAGAGGCATCAACATGTAATTGACCTAATAGTGTGTATGAGCGATGGCTCAGCTTCCTTCCGGGAGCAGAGCTGTGGGTGTGAAGCCCCTGGACCTGCTGCAAGTAAAACTGCCTTGGAGCAGCCGCATCTTGTTTTTGAATAGAACACCCCACGCGGGAAAGCCCTCGTGTTCCACACCAAAACCCGCCAGAGACACACAAAGGGGGCGTCCAGTGAAACTTCACTATAAAAACAGGCAGAGCCTGGCCAGTGTTCTCAGTGGTTAGAGCATCGGCCCCAGGACCGAAGGGTCTCGGGTTCAATTTCGGGTCACGGGCACTTGCCTGGGTTGCAGGTTCAATCCCTGGTGCCCGGGGCCCGTACCCAATGCAACCAATCCATGTCCCCCTCCCTCCCCTCCACTCTCTCTGAAAATCAATGGGAAAATATCCTCAGGTGAGGATTGGCAAAAAAAACAAAACCAAAACCAGGTAGAAGCTGGATTTGGCTTGCTGACCCTAAGTTGCTGGCCCCTGATCTAAACACTCCATTTTCAGCTCTAACTGTCCATTCTCTTTTAAAAATATTTTTAATTGATTTTTAGATAGAGAGGAAGAGAGAGAGAGATAGAAACATCAGTGAGAGAGTCACACAGATTGGTTGCCTCCTGCACACACCCTACTGGGGATCAGGCCCTCAATCTGGACATGTGCCCACGACTTCTTGGCCCATGGATGACGCTCAATCCACTGAGCCGCACCAGCCAGGCTCCTGTCCATTCCCTTAAACACACCAGGCACACGGAAAAGGACGCTGTGTGGACCAGTCCTAAGGTTACCATGGCGTTGTGAGCATCCGTAACGTTAACACCGAGAATCAAATTGAGTGAAATAAACCACGCCTCTGGGGGCCGGGAGGCCAGAGTGTGCGTCCGGCTGGCAGTTTCCGATCCAGAAGGATGACCCGCTCCTGGCGGGGCAGGGCTCACCTCCTGCTCTCCGACCCCCCGTACCCACGTACCCAGTCTTCCAGGTCCCAGTGCCCGGAAGGGCGCCAGCTGGCTGAGCTGGTTACTCAGCTGGGAGCGCACAGAACCATCCGGGAGGCCCAGGACCATCCCAGCTGGAAGGGTTAACTTTAAAAGAAACGCAGGAAAATAGATGTGCTTCTTCTATTACTCATAGATTTTATTATTATTATTATTATTATTGTTGTTGTTGTTGTTGTTAATCCTCACCCGAGGATATTTTTCGGTTGCCTCCTAGACAGTGGAGGAGAAAGGGCAAGTCAGAGAGAGACATCGATGTGAGAGAAACACATCAATTGGTTGCCTCCTGCACGAGCCCTGACCAGGGCCAGGGAGGAGCATGCCCTTGACCAAAATCGAACCCAGGACCCTTTGGACTGCCAACCGATGTTCTATCCACTGAGCCACACTGGCTAGGGCTAGTCCTCGTAGATTTTATGTGGCCCACTGTATTAGACAGGGCTGTCCAGAGACAGAACCAGGAGGATGCTGTGGGCCCAATCAATCCTGATGCTACATGCCAACTCTGAGGGCTTAACCCGCTCTCTGCGAGAGGGTATGGGGTCCTGTAACTCCTCCACTGTCCTCAGTGAATAGTGTGGACTCCTGTGAGGAAACCAAATGCAAAGCTGGGCCACGCTGCCCACAGACAACGGCAGTTACCTGAGACGCGGCCGTCCACACCCAGCCCTGGGCTCTCGGGTTGCCGTTACGCGTTAACATAGAAACACGGCTCGCCTCTGTCTCCAACGCTCACTCCTCGCATCTGAGCACAGACGCTAGCTTTCTGCATCCCATAATAACCAGCGCCCACACCACCCCCTCCGATGTATGACCAAGTGGCATGTCAGGGATGGTGGACATTACAGAGGCTCTGAGCAGGGAGGGGTGGCGAGGGCCCCTGAAGAAGGGCACTTGAGGGGGGCGTGGCTGGGGGTGGGGCTGGCCACCGGCTATAATGGGGGTGGTTGGTCCTGGGCTGTGGTGAGGAGCAGACCCCCTTCGTCTCCGGATGCCAGGCTAGTCCTGTTGCCAAGGAAAATATCACTCGGGACACATTTCCTGCTCGGAGCACCAACAACCGCAGTTCTCCCCTAAAGTGTGATTTGTTCAGTGCAAGGAAGTTCTCGCTTTCCAGGAGTCAGGCAGACAGCTTCCAGGCGGGGCCTCGTCCTCCACCCCCTCACCAGCCACCACACAGCCACTGGCGAGGTGTCGCTGCCAGGATGCTTGTTAAGGGGGATCAGATCCCGCCCGACCAGGGTGACTTGGTGGTTGAACGTTGACCTCTGAACCAGGAGGTCACGGTTTGATTCCCCGTCAGGGCACATGCCTGAGTTGGGGGCTCGATCCCCAGTGTGGGGCGTGCAGGAGGCAGCTGATCCATGATTCTCTCTCATCATTGATGTTTCTCTCTCTCCCTCTCCCTTCCTCTCTGAAATCAATAAAAATATATTTTAAAAAGAAGAGGGATTAGACCCCATTTTCAATGTCCCGATATTCCCGGGACTTGGCCCTCCTCTGGGACCGAGAGGTCCTTGTTGATTTCTGGAGATGATCTCAGGGGCTTTGGCCCCGCGGGGGAGCTGGGGCTGTCTGCTTAGGGAGCGGAGCGCCTAATAAACTCACGCTGGGGTTCTGAGTGTCTGCGGGAAGCCAGGGCCCCAAATGTGGCTGATGGTAAATGTGCTCTCAGGGTGGAAGGAACACAGGCTTGGCAGCCCTTTCGCTGGAGCGACCGGGACACGTCTGGGGAGACGGGCGTGGGACCACGGGCGTGGGACCCAGAGGGTCAGGGAAATCACACCCTGGGAGGCGAACTGCCTGGGAGGCCAGCGCCAGGGGCAGTGGGTGCAGTTGCACGGTGAGTCACGTGACCAGCCTCCCTCTGCCAGCCCTGAGGCATGTTTTCCTTTAAATGATTAAACTTAGTTGAACTTCGTTCAGGAAAAAATTTTCCATCTGAACACTTTTTTTCCAGGCTTAGAGAGCTTCAAGATGAGGTTTGTTTTTCTTAAAGAGAAACCTTGTATCGACAGCTTCCGACATCTGTGGACTTAGCGCACCCAGCACCCAAACGATACCAAATCACGCATCTGGCCCAACTCCTCCATCGGGCTGGTTAAGACAGCCCATGGGAAAAGGAAAAAGAAAGAAAGGCAGGAGAGCTGTACATTCTTCCTCGGCCTCTTGGTAATAAATGGCTCTGGACTGGAATCCCACGTTTGCCCCATGTCCTTGGGCGTGAGGTTCACTCCTGAAACGCGAGGGTCTGGCTGGTGAAGGCTAGTGGAGATTTCATGTGGACAATTACGCTGCCATCAGCCTGAATTCGGGTCAATGTCACGTCAGGACGAGTGGGTGAAACCCGGGGTGTGAGCCGTTCAGCTTCGGGAAGGAAAGGGCTGGGGGTGCGGCCGTGGGAAGAGGGGGCCGCAGCCCAGTCCGGGAAAGGCAAGCCTGACCCACGTCACATCACCCGGCTGCGCCTCAGCCCGGGAGCGGTCCTGCTCTTAGTTTGCGGTTAGTTCACTTAAAAAGCAATAGGGTTTTTCTTTCTTTCTTTTACTCTCCCAGACCAAGAGCTAGAACGAATTATGATCAGTAGCTTCTCGGGTTTCCTTTGCTTTTCTTCTGGGGGGAGAGGATACCTTTTCTGTCTTCCTCCTTTAAATGTTTTCTTTCCCAACCGTGATTACTTCTTTTTTTTTTTAATCCTCACCCAAGGATATTTTTCCATTGATTTTTAGAGAGAGTGGGAGGGGGAGAGGCAGAGAGAGAAACATCCATATGAGAGACACATGGATTGGCTGCCTCCTGCAGGGCCTGACCAGGACCCAGGCAGGGGAGGAGCCTGCAACCGAGGTCTGAGCCCCTGACTGCACTGGAACCGGGGACCCGTCAGTCCGCAGGCCGACGCTCTGTCCACTGGGCCACACCGGCCAGGTTTTGAGCCGGAGGGAGAGGAACAGAGCCTGAGGGTGGGGACAGGGTTCAGGGCTGCATGTGCGCCCTGCGCTTCCTCATCTTGCTCGGAGGTGCCTGAACCGCCCTCTGTTTGGGGACTCCGGGGCTGGGAGAGGGGAAGACACCCACTGCCTCTGAGCCCCAGGAGGGCGAGGCTGCGGGGTCACCTCTACACCTTCTCCCAGGCGACGACAGGACTGGCAAGGAGGGGACCCCGGGCGGGGGCGGGGGTGCAGAGCGGGGGAGGCGGGG